AAGTTTTTTCTTTCTGAGCTTGCGTGCTAGCGGCATGATGCTCTCTCTTCAAATGGTGCGGTTTCAAACTCGCAGTCTACCGCGAATTTCAGCGACGTTACAGTTTAGCCTCTCCAGAGTTTATTAAACTCAGTCGGAGGCGTAGAGTCCATATTCTCCATATTTGGCATACCCGATCTCCCTATCAGTCACAGTCTCTTTCCATATAAGGAACATATTAAGCAACCACGACTACGACGGCATGGAGCGAAAACGCCACAAAAAAGTGTATTCACGCTGTCTCAAATTAATATTTATCACTCTTATTCCATTTCGTTCAAGTTGATTGTCAAATGTTGGTGAATGGTTTTTGGTGTTTAATTCTATTGTAATGTACCTCAATGTAGAAAAAGGAAAAAGAAAATGGTTTTCTAGTCTGATAGCGTTCCGTGTTTAGATATGTTTAAAACACGAACATCAGCCTTTTATCTCTGGTTTAACATTTGAGCGTAATAAGCGAGAGATTTCTTAACCAGTTATAAAACGCGTGCCTTGCGTTTTTTGACAAGCCTTAAAAAAATTCGAGTTTATTTAACATATGTTAAGGGACTTGCCCCGCCCCTTCTCTGTAATAGGTTAATTAAAATGGGCGATGCGCACTCTCGTAATATCTCAGATTTCTTGTGATTTTTTTTTTTCACCCCACCGACAGACCCGCCCAAAACCAGGAAACCTATTCGACGGTAAACGAACGAAAAGGGGATGACCTAAGCCTTATGGTTTCTTTTTGGGCTTCCTCACCATATTGCTTCTGCGTGTTTCTGTATACTTGTCTTTTGCTTTGTTTTGTTCTTTTTTGTCGGTAAAATAAAGGGAAACTGTACAAAGACCCTCAATATTTCCTTTGGAGGTTCTCGAACGCGCATAAAAAAATGAAAAACACGATGATTTATTGACCGCAAGGGCAATGGGGTGGGGTTAGGGCTCGTTACTGCACTACGGTTCACTCGTACGCTGTCAAATGGTCCCGAAATACAAAATGAAAAATGACTGTGGACAGGCTATTCACGTCTAGACATCAAGCATCTTTTAAGATGGGACTTATCGCCTCTCCCTGTTCATGGAGTTGATTCAAGGTGTTAAAGTTAATTTCGTGATGCCCTGCATGTTACCAGGACATGTTTCAAAAGGGCCTTTCCAAAGGTACGGAGTCCGCCGTCATCTTGTCAACCGTGCGAGAAATGATGTACTTCACAAAAACAAAGAGAAGTTATTTTCGATTTGCCCCGCCCCCTACCCCCGAAAGTCCCCGACAGGACCGCTTCAAAGTACTTCCCATGTGGTTGGGCGGGGGATAGTAACAGGTCTACCTAATTGCACCGTACATCAATAACAGTTTAGCTCAATCAGAAGCCCCTTTTCCCTGGCTACTTCAAGGTGTGTGCACCTCCTTTAAGCTGTTGTTTTCGGTTCTTACTGAAATTTTTGATCTTGAGGAAATTCACAACGACAGGAGCAGGTTATGGGCTTTTTTCCTAGCCCTAATCCTACATCACGGGAAATCCCTCAGGTTAGGCAAGAATTCGATAATCCTTCCATAATCATCCATTTTTTCACCGCGTGAATTGCGTATTTTTAGCTTATTTCGAGGAAATACTTTTTGCTTCAAATCCAGGGTGGGCTTTTAAACACATTTTTTAAGCCAAATGGTTTTTGCGAGAATCTGCTTACCCGACCTTTTCGCATAAAAAACGACAAATACCCGAAAAAAGCTGATGTTGTTGGTGGTGGTGGCATATTTCCGATAAATTCAGCTCAATGTCTCGTGAAGAAGACTTCAGATCCGTGCCGCGCGCCTCTCGAGGCAAGCGTTCCGTCGAAATGCGAGCCCAAAAACAGGTGGTAAGCGGTCAATCTGTGAAAAGTAACGCAATCTCCGTCGTTTGAGAGCAGCCGAAGATGCTCTCGCCGATGCTGTCCTTGATGTTTTTTTATTTCCAGTATCTAGGAAACCCATGCTAAGGTATGAAACATACACTCGTAGGCAATGTTCAGTCCGCTAAAGTCTAATTCCTGGACGCAGAAACGTTGTGCTTTTTTGAAGTTTATTATTGTGCTTTGCCTTTTGACAACCTTACGTCACTCGTGCGTTTGGTAGCAGAAGATGGCTAAACTCTGGTTTTCTTGTTGGGAAACGGCTTTAAATTTTATCAGATCGCTCGATAAACACGTGTTAGTTCTGATAGCTGATAACGTTAAATCACTGTTGTTCAAACTGATTTCTTATTGCATTTTTCTGAGTTTTTAGCATCGACCCGCTGAGTCTGGAAAGCTCAAATTTCAGAAAAGTACTACTAGTATTTTTTGGCCTCAAACATTTTCTTTTAAGTTGCCCGTGGTTTTGAAAACAGATTTTGAAAGATGAGATAACGCTTTTTAACGTGGTATAAGACTCGTTACTGAAATCGAGGTACCAGTCGACGATTTTGGGCTTTGAAATTTGCCATTTTTTCATTGAACGAAAACGTTCAAAGTATGAAAATAATGAAAATTCTCCAAAATATCACACTTTCGTTCAAACTGAGTAAATCACCACTTAGAATGTGTGCAATTAAGTACTCTTCTGAATAAGTTATTTGTTGTCCACATACAATGGATTTGAATTTTAAAACGATTTTTTTTTGCGACACATGGTCTCGGGCCTGGAAAACTCGGTCCGAGAGCCGCGAAACCAATAACCCCCCCGTACGTGGAAAATAATTATCGGATCGAAGTAAAAATTACATTTATGTTAATAGCTTACCTAGTGCTACTTTGTGAATTTTTTTGAGAATTTTCGATTTTTCACTTTTGTAGACCTCTGGTCGATATTTACTGACATCCGCTCTTAAAAGGCTCAGTTAGTCTCGTAGGTACGAAACGAGTATAAGCACAATCTAACCGGACGTAGGGTTCAACGCGGGTTCAAACCCCGGCCGGACCAACACTCAGGGTCTTTAAATAACTGAGAAGAAACTGCTGCCTTTGTAATGACATCTGCAAATGGTTAGACTTTATAGTCTTCTCGGATAAGGACGAAAAACCGTAGGTCCTGTCTCACCGCACTTTCAATTATTTCTTCTTGTGGGACCTAAAAGAACCACATCACCATTCGAAGAGAGTAGGGATTGTATACCCCCGGAGGTGTGGCCAACCTTTACGGGTTGTGAGATTGGGTAGGGATAGCATGCACCTCGCATGGGACCTGAGTCCCGTTCGTTCACATTCCCTCTGGGCAGGCCTGTCTCCAGAAAAGCTGGTAAATAGACGTATGGACGATCATTCTCGTTCCCAGAGCTTGGATCCTGGTCAGTGCGGATCGCCGACGCTGACCCGCAAACGGATCGAAGATATGGGAAGGAGAATGATGGACGATCCGATCGCTACATATTAGAAGTCACTAGTAAGTAAACTGTTGCATTACAAGTATTCACTTAATTGCCCCCGCAGGGATTTCGCCCAGAGGCGAAATCCCGAGGAGGCACCCTAGTAACTCGCGCGTATATTAAGGACAGTACCTACAGTTCGAAAATACAGTCAGTATACTAGAAAAAGTCTCGATTTGCTCGAACAGGGGCCGCGAGGAATCGGTAGGTAATGATGACGTTTCTATTGTTTGCACCCGCAAGTACTTAATGGTTAGGATGACGTAAAGACATAAAATCCCGAAAGGACCGCTCAGGTAGATTTTGTGACATTTATTGTACAGTCATACTTCGTTACTCTTTTGCGTTACGCAGTGACATACTGTGGAGCAGTTGTTTTGAAAGTTATGGTCCAAAAGACACTCGTTAACCGCAGTTGAGGTTATAAGGTGCATTTAACTGTGTATATATAAACACTTGGAGAGTTTGCCAGACACGAGTTCACAAATCTTTGATTTATATTGGAAACCTTGCCAGACACTCTTTCTCTCTCTGTGACCGGAATAAGACTCAGCCCTAAACAAGCAAGACGAGTGAACAACGGCTAGCTTATCACTAGCAGATTGATGGACAATTACAGAAATTCGCCGACAATCAAATTCTGTGCTGACTTATTCCCTACTCACAGATGTCCTTCCGTTATAAAGTTTCAAATAAGACTAGAATGCGCGAGCGTGAATCGATCAAACGTCCTTTTAATTTCTAAGGTTTACTTTACGGCAAATAAAATGAAATGAATGTAAAAGGTGAAAGAGAAATAGCGTAAAATTCAACTTCTAATTAAATCTTTTCTTATGATTTAGAGTAAACTGTTCTCGAAACTGAGAATGTTTTGATCAAAGCTGTGTAAATCGAGCTGAAACTGTGCATGGAACCTTGCGTTTCCTGTTTATTTATCTCACCTATTGTATGGACTATGTGTGAAAATCTTCATTATCAATCGGCATATTTCAAAGAGCTACAAAACCAGCAAGAATACTATCGACCGACAATATACATAACGGGGGCAGCTGTAGTGTCAACTATTACTAGTATATAAGAAATCTTAAAAAGCAAACTTTTCCATTCTCTTGTTCTTCAGTGGGTCTTGGATTGTGCAAAGCAGGTAATGAGCGATACCCGAATTCGTGCGTCGTAATGAGGCAAGCAAAGGGGGAAAAGACCAGAAAAAGATTTTGTGAAGAATGAATTGCAGACACCATAGCGCGCGCTGATGACAATACTCATGTCACTCCCGCAATACATACACTTTTTAGGCAGTTAGAGTAGCTAATAAAAAAAACAGAATTGCATTTGATTAATTGACCAGATCTCGCTTTCGGCTTCGTCGACAAAAGATCTGGGTAATATTTGCATTAAACTGAAACCCTCTTTAAACAATCAAGGTTAAAGTAACATGCTTCTAACGACCGTAAATAAGGGTCTAGTAAATAGACACATTCCTAATTCTTGGTGATAATAATTACCGTATGGAATATAATGCAAGTTTTGCTTTCTCCGAGTAACGGTGTAGTGAATGGACATCTTCCTAATATTCGGGAGTTGATTACCTGATGGTAGATTGCAAGTTCTGCCATCTCCGCTGGAAGGACTGTTACATGAACAACTAAAGGATCCCACTGTGTTTGTACATGAAGCAAGTGAACTGTGGCAGTTGTGAGTACCGCGGGCACACTCGTCAATATCTACACAAAAGGAACAATACAAGTAAGTGCAGTCATAACCTTTGTAACCGCTTTCGTTACAAAGAGGAGACAAGTTAAACGGAATTAATTATTATAAGCTTGATAAAATTTCAAATGATATTAAGTACAACTAAGAAAAGAGAAGAGACGTTGCAAGCACCTACCTGAACAGCTGTAGCCATTTCTTCTGTACCCTACAGAGGAAATGGCTACAACTGTTCAGGTAGGTGCCTGCAAAGTTTCTTCTCTTTAAAAAATCTGGCAAAACGTGTTTTGAGGGTTCGTTTGCGTCTTGAAAACTCTCCCAACATTTTCTTTCAGACGTAGACGAATGCCAGATCAGCACTCACAACTGTAGCGACAATGCCACCTGCATTAACACCCTGGTTTGCAACTACAGTTAAAGGAACTTCATTCAAAGTTTGGACTTTTAGCCCTTTTTTGCATATCTCTGAAACGACTCAAACAATTTTTTTTCAAATCTCTTCACATAATCTTAATAATGCATATGAGAAGGTCTGAAACTTTCATTGGGATTGATTCACTGCAACATCTTAAAATTTCAAATTCACTCTGTTTACAATAATAATATACAAGGTAGGAGACACGAGATGCCATCTTGGCCACCATGCTGTCATTCAAAACAACTTTTTGCACGTTGAGAAAGAAGGAAATAAACATGTAAAAGGTGATGTTTTCAGTTTGCAATTTTTGTTTTTTAACTATCGGAAAAGTCTAATTTTCAAAGAGTAAAAACTTAATTGACTACGACGACAGCGACAACACCAATTTTATAGATTAGCAAAACATCAGCTTGGAATGTACATCACACCATCACACTTAATTCGATTGTTTCTTTAAAAAAAGCGTGATGTACGTGCTTTTTTTCTCATTTTCACGCGTGGACTGGAACATGTAGTTTGCTTGGGCCAGCTGTCGCGTTTATCTCAAGGGAACAAATATAGCCCTCGAGCAAATGTATTTCCAGCAGGGATGGCTAATTTTGGTAAAGCTATGTATCAGTCCCTAGAAAGGTCAACCCAGGACACCAGGGATGAATTTTTTTGTACAGTGCCCAGGCCTCATTTTCTTGGCCGCGCGTTGATCTGGTCCGGCTACTTCGGCGAGCATATTCTCGGCCTTTTGGATTACATCCTTCGAGTTTGTCAAAGTCTGCGGGATTCGTTTTTCTATCTGGGAAAGCTTCATTGGTTTCTATATCTGCAGCTATCCTATTACTACGATTCTGGCATGTTTATTTTCTGTTGGAGTTCGAATTTCGTGGAAAAATGTCTGTTGAATGAGAGCATGGCGGCCAAGATGGCATCTCGTGTCTCCTACCTTGTATATTATTATTGTAAATAGAGTGAATTGGAACAAATTATCACGAAACTTCGTTGGAGCATTAAGGACAACAACAACTAACTGCAGAGTAAGTTTCATTGATCTTTATTTAGTTAATATTTCCTAGAAATTTCAGGATACTATTTTTACCACATACAAACACTGTAATTTTACTGGAGCTGTACTGTGGTATATCACAGAGCCTGGGTTACCTGTGACCAAGCTTGGGCCGCCTGTGTCTCACCTAACAAAGTATGTCCTGGATCTACCATTAATTTGCGACCAAACACATAGGGACAGGCTAATGGAACTTAACTTATTACCGATCTCCTGATTGGCACGGGTGTTTAGATATGATTTTCTTTTCTCTGTTCTCCCGCAGGTCTTAGTTACTCGCATTACCAGATCTAACAGCAACTGTAATGTCCCTTACTTTATTTCAGGGAAATGCAATTCATCACTTTTCAAAGATCTTTTTTTTAATAGAACCACCAGAATCTGGAACACGTTAGCAGATGACTTTCAACTTTCATTCAACCTTCAGATCAGTTAATTCAAATCGATCATGTACAAGTACTACCTGGATGCCTACATCATAACTACGACCCAGAGTACCCACGATCCTGGAACTGACCATCTGTCGGTCATGTAATGTTTCTCGTGACGTGTTTGTCCGTCTTCGTTGTTGTTCTTAAGAGTGGTTGTCGAAGAAAACCGGGCAAAATGTTAAAAATGTCAACGGAAGGGGGTCAACAGAATAAGTTCATACTAACATCATAGATAGGTCTGGTGGAGTAATGGACAAATATAATAAACATAGGCTCTTCACTGCTCTTGTATTAGAGATACGAGCATCACTTTATTCGACCCGCTCGGACGCCATTTTTATAAGCAAATTTTCACCATTTTCTGAAACTCACCGAACCCTCAAAATTTAACGAGCGAAGTTTATTTTTCGCATGCGACACAATACATCACAGAACTACTTTCTAAAACCATAAGATTTGTTAAGCAGCGACGGACAAGACTAAAATTTTCTTATTTTATCTGACCTAAACTCAGTGTCTGCAAACGAGCAAAAAATCGGGCATTTTTGAATTGATCTACAGCGCACAACTAAAGCGACAGAACAACTCTGACAGCCAAATTGCAGTTTACTATCATCCATGTAACCAAAACACTAATAATCATTTTGGGCCATTGAAACAGGAAGAAATTAGAAAACTCACATTTGTTATAGTTTCCAAGCTTTTTCTTGCAAACAGGCCGATCCCTTCGTGTTTGTTTAAGTCCTCTTCGTGAATTTTCGTCCATATTTCGCTGTAAAGTATGTTTAGCAGCTGGAGAAAATATCAAAAAGCTCGAAATACTGCCTCGGTTACTTGTCCAAAGGGTAAAAAGTGCTGAACGATAGGATGAAACTAGAAAATAACAAAGCGACGCCATCTTGAAAATTCCGCACTCAGGAGGGACTGGCACTAGTAGCTGCGTTCGATATCTAACATGGACAAAAATTGCAAATTTTACACGAGCACATAGAAAACCAAACCTAATATAGAAATGTAACCAGAAAGCCTCGGATTCATGTTAGATTTTTTCTGTATCGAACGTGGGCTATTATGAACTATTACCGGGAGCCTATGGGCTCCTGATTACCAATAAGATAAAAAACAAAAAAAACAAACTTATCAGCGACCTACTCCAGTCTTATTTCTTCTTCAATTACTTCTTTTAGTTGAATTTAGCTTTAGAAGAACGCCTGATCGCAGGTTAATTGGTGATTAACTGGCATTGGTTCATTCCCTCCTCATTTAGAGGTGTCCCGTGGATGTAGATGATATTAAAGATCTATTTTGTCTCTTTATGAATCACTTAACTTCGCTCTCATGCGAGCTAGCTAGACTTGCTATGTATCAACCTCGCGAGTTTCGAAGCGTGCGGGCTAACTGCGGGCAGTGGATATTGCTTGCTGTAAAATTTGTAATAATTTTTATTACCAACTGTTTATTAAAATAAACATAGTACATGCAGTTGAATCAGTTCTGCGGAGCGGGCATTTTTAGGCCGCGAAGCGGCCAAGAGAGCCAGTGGACGAAGTACTTTTTTGAAGGTAAGCCTTTTAACTGATGATCCCATCGCTGTCAGTTCGCATTTCCATAAGGTAATAGACCTTCGAATGTTGACAAGAGCTGTCAAAATAAACCATTCATAGCGTTTACCAGATCCCGGTATACCGGAAGGATCCGGAAGGAGCTTTTGTTAAAAAGTACCATTAATGGGGTTTTTACGACTCTCACTCCGCACCCCTTCCCCTCATTGTTTTTCCTGCTCACTTCTTTTTCAGAATGCTCTTTGCCCAGTCCACCCAAGATAAACGCCACGTTTAGAGGGAAGGCGCAAATTCTCTTACAGATTGCGGTTCTGTTTGCAGCTCAAAAACTTCACGGTTCCGCCGGTCGCATGTAAAGAAAAGACGGATCCCTGCAAGTTTTTGGCCGTTCAAAAATTTGTAAAAGGGGTCTGAGTGTTAACTCGAGTTGGTACCTTTTTCATCATATTGATCATTGATAGAAGTCCTACACCTGGACGTTTACAGCCACTAGATTCCTTTTAGTTTACTGGTGTAGCTGTGAAAGAATTGACATCTCCTACATCTCTTCGTCACTGGATTTGTCAAAAACACTCTCACTACGTTGTTTAACATAAACAGTCCTCACATTTAGAGAAATTGTCAAGGTCTTGCCTTAAATTCAGAGGAGGCAATTTCCAACGCCATTTTGTTTGTTAATCTTTTCAACGGCACTGTTGCAAAAAATGCGCGCGCGAATCGTACGAGATGGCACAAAATGTGCTAAAATTAGCACATTTAATGGCTATGATATATATTTCAGGGGCAACCAACGACAATTTTCGGAAAATATGTGTTCGGAAGACGATTTGCGATTTAGAATTTTCGGAACATTTCATTGTAAAATTCCTTGCTTGCCTACCTCTCCTAGGATTTTCGAACATGTAAAAAAATGGTATAATTGCCCATTTTTAACGGATTTTTACACTTAAAAAGTCACCTAGAATTTTCGGGAGCCTTTTTTCTGGCTGCAATTTGCGAAAAGGTAAGTTTTGATCCCTATAATTTTCGAATCACTAAACTTTCAGCTAAGAAATCCGAACAGATGAAAAATTTCTACGGGGATAAAAATATGCCTATATCTACCGTTTAAATACTAGAATGCGTTTAACAATGCTATGTTTAGGTGGTTTTGAACCATCTTCTCGTTGGGTGCCCCTGATATTTCGATGAAGTCAACCCCATCCCTGGAAAAGGTGTCCAGTTACGGTCCACTACCCCGATTTAGATAAATATGGCTCCTGGTAGAGTATAAAAACGTAATTTTGTGCTACTTCGCAGCGTAATTAGCGTTGCTAGATAAGTCTGTCCGCCATCAGGAGCCCGTAAACCATGTATGAGTGAAGACTACACATCAATATTAATATTAATCTTGTAAAAATTCAAGTATGAGCCATTAAAATTGTTGAATGACCTTCTTCACCTCAGACACTCGTGTCAGTCAAGTGTGAATCGAAGTCCCCCATTTTGCCTTTTTGTTCAAAAAAACCTCTGACCTAGCAGCCCGGCTGCATCTTGCGCCCATCATCTGCCCCCAAGGGGTGAGGATCTGGCTCCTTTTTCATAGGGAAATTCATAAATTGTCAACTAAAACACTGTGCAATATGGAAGCAAGGCTAATTTAAGCACTAAGAGCTGCTCAGATATCTCAGAATTGGAAAAAAACTAGTTAGAGAAATTGCTCAGCAATTATGTAAAAAGTTGCTTGAAACGCAGAAAGTTGCTCGAAATACTAGACCTTGCCAAAAAGTTGCCGAGCAACTTGTGGAAAGCCCTAGTGAGAAGGGGAGCGGGGTGGGAAGCTACTCAATAAAGCATTGTTCGGAGAGGTTTCGCCCCGAGTTCCAGTCCCTTATCCTTATATATACTATTTTTGAGAAAAGGTAATCCTTTCGTGTATCTTCCATTGAAAAGTTGCACCCTTTTCATATATATGCTTCGTGAGAATAAATCGGTAAGAAAGAAGGTCTTCGGGCCATTTTCGTGTAACCTTTAACTGAATTAACATGTAAATGATATTGTCATAAGGCGTGTTTCTTCGAAGCATTTAATAAAAGGCTCTTTAAAATCCTTAATGAAAGATTTTCCTCTCCTTTCACATAATTCAACTTGTGATTTTCCTACCCTTTGTTACACCTGATGCTTGAAAGAGGTACCCTTCGGGCGAAGCCTTCCGGACTATGAAACTGTGCATCATGAAATCATGAACAGGAGATGAGGGGACCTTCGGACATGGACGGTGATTGTAGACTGACGCAAAAATAGATGATACAATAAAGATTCCAAAGAAAGACTTATACTGGATAACTCAAAAGGAAGTGAATGAAGAGTAAATGAAGACTGAATAAAGTAATGCCAATTGGTCATCTTCCCCAAACCCTATCACTCCGCCCCCAAAAAAAGACCGACAACACAAAAAAAGCTAAATTTAACTGAAAGTAGTGATTGAAGAAGAAATAGGACTGTAGTAGGCAACTGATAAGCCGGTTTGTTTGTTTGTTTTTGTTTTTTATCTATTTGGTATTTCATCACGTTGTGGACAAGGCAGCTACTAGTGCCAGTCCCTCCTGAGTGCTGAATTTTCAAGATGGCGTCGCTTTGTTATTTTCTAGTTTCATCCTGTTGTTCAGTACTTTTTGCCCTTTGAACAAGTAACCTAGGCAGTATTTCGAGCTTTTTGATATTTTCTCCAGCTGCTGAACATACTTTACAGCGAAATATGGACGAAAATTCACGACGAGGACTTAAAACAAACACGAAGGGATCGGCCTGTTTGCAAGAAAAAGCTTGGAAACTATAACAAATGTGAGTTTTCTAATTTCTTCCTGTTTCAATGGCCCAAAATGATTATTAGTGTTTTGGTTACATGGATGATAGTAGACTGCAATTTGGCTGTCAGAGTTGTTCTGTCGCTTTAGTTGTGCGCTGTAGATCAATTCAAAAATGCCCGATTTTTTGCTCGTTTGCAGACACTGAGTTTAGGTCAGATAAAATAAGAAAATTTTAGTCTTGTCCGTCGCTGCTTAACAAATCTTATGGTTTTAGAACGTAGTTCTGTGATGTGTTGTGTCGCATGCGAAAAATAAACTTCGCTTGTTAAATTTTGAGGGTTCGGTGAGTTTCAGAAAATGGTGAAAACTTGCTTATAAAAATGGCGTCCGAGCGAGTCGAATAAAGTGATGCTCGTATCTCTAATACAAGAGCAGTGAAGAGCCTATGTTTATTATATTTGTCCATTACTCCACCAGACCTATCTATGATGTTAGTATGAACTTATTCTGTTGACCCCCTTCCGTTGACATTTTTAACATTTTGCCCGGTTTTCTCTGACAACCACTCTTAATTGTCATATGTAGCTTTACTGTTTTTTACATATTTTTTTTTAGCTCTGGGACCACTGTAATTGGCCTACCGCTGTCGTGGCACCCCTGCCTAATTAAGCATTTATTATTCTTTATTTCAATATATACAGTATTTATCATACTTTGTTTTTTCTTTATTATTATGATGTAGTAGGCGAAGCTAATAAAATAAATAAAATAAAGAATAAAACATCTAATTATATCCACAAAAGGTGCCGAGAAATAGGCCAAAGTTTTGAAGAAAGTCTAAAAAGAGGTAAGCAGGATAATTTGAAAGATTAATTTCTTAAAATTGCATAATATTTTATACTCGAAACAATTTGGATTCCGTAATAATCATTCAACTGCATTAGCTTTAATTGACTTGATCAACATGGTATTCGGGATACTGCTTTGGCGTGGATCAAAAGCTATCTTGAGGATCGGACTCAATTTGTCCAGTTTGGGTCCCATCGATCTTATCCGATTTTATGTGGCGTCCCGCAGGGTTCAGTTCTTGGGCCTCTTATGTTTATTATTTACATTAATGATCTTCCTTATGTCTCTACTCTCACTCAATCTTTACTGTTTGCTGATGACACAACTATCTTTTGTTCCCATAAAGATGCCAACCACCTCGTTTCTATTGTTAACAATGAACTTGCAAAAATAATCATTTGGCTTAAAGTGAATAAGTTATCTCTAAATTTGACTAAGACAAATTTTATGATTTTTCCTCCAAGGCAAAAGAAAGTCAATGTTAATGTCCCTCTTACTCTGGAAAATACTGTGATCAAGCAAGTCACGGAGACAAAATTTTTAGGTGTTCTCATTGATCAGCATCTCTCTTGGAAACCACATATTGATTTCGTCTCAAAAAAAGTGTGGCAATTATTGCGAAAGCCCGCTTTTACCTATCATCCCAAACTTTGATGACCTTGTATTACTCCCTTGTATATCCTTTCTTAACATACTGTAATGTCGCCTGGTCCTCCACCTACTGTTCCAAGCTAAACGGTATTTACCTTTTTGCAAAAGCGTCTAGTGCGGCTCATAACAAAAGCTCACTATTTACCAAATACCGCCCCTTTATTTATCCAGCTTAAAGTCCTTGACATATTTAGTATTAATTCATTTTCTGTCGCTACTTTTATGTATTCTTATCACCATAATCTTTTGCCTAGTAGCTTTCGTGACTTGTTCTTAAGTAGAAATCAAGTCCATCAATACGAGACTCGACTAGCCTCTCAGTATAGACCTCATTTTTGTAGAACAAATATAAGGTACTCAGTATCCTTTACCGAGGACCTAAAATCTGGAATTCGTTGCCTATTTCACTATTAGCTCTCCTTTATATTTGTTTTTTAAAAAATATATAAGAATTATCTTACTGATAGCCGATCTGTCGCTTAAATTTCTGGTCTTGCTCACTCTGCACTCAGCCATGAATTTAGTTCATTAGCCGTAGTTGAAGGAAGCCTATTTATATAAGCTTCAAGCTTCGGTAGGCTTCCCTGTCACATTAGTTTTATAATTTATTAACAACTTTCGTTCATGTTGTATAAGGTTTTGTGAGTGACTAAATGAATAAAATAAAATAATTAAAAACGAATAATAAAACATTATTAAACTCGGATGTCGTACGATGTGAAGAGTTATGCAAATCTCGCTCTACCTAATTCTTCACATCCGACTCAGACTCATTCAATAATTGATAAATATCATGACAACGATCACTTTGTCGATGAGGCTAGACTTCAAAATCATATTGTACTGTACATCTGGAAATGTCTCTTTTGAATTCTATTGTCTTCACTCAAATGCGTGAACTCGAGACAAAATGATATTGAAATAGCCTTAACATTAAGACGAATCAGGTCTTTACTAAAATATTGTCACCTGTGCAGTAAACCCCGTTCCCAGAATACCCTGGCTTGCAAATAGTACACTCGAAAGATCCTTCGGTGTTATTGCAGTCTGCATTAGCACCACAGTTGTGCTCTCCTGTTATACACTCAGGTGTAGGACTGAATCATCAAAATTGATTTACTTACTGGCCTTTTATTTTCTAGGATTGGATATGTTCGGAAAAAAGAGATAACTTTCTGGCTATACTGAGAAGCAAAAAGTTTATTGCTATATATTGAGACAGTGAAAAATGATAACACCACATGTATAGATAGAGGATTAGCGAAACTTAAGGAAGCAAGATACTGCAGAATGCAGAACGACGTCTCAGCTAACGAAAAACTACCAAAAGAAGGAGCAATAAAAAAGACACCTTTCCGCTCGTACTCTGTCATGGTGTGGAGCAAAAGACGGAATTGTGTACACTGGTATGATTTTTAAATGCAGTAAGGTCACTCAGCGTGAATTTCGTGTGCTGACATGACAATCTTGCATGGACACAATATAATAGCGGACCTCTCTCGCGCGAAGCGCGCGCGCAGGGGAGCACCATGGGTAAGAAAATTTGGTAAACTATCCATCCAAAAAAATTTGGTTATGACGTAGCGTACGCCCACCCGTACACACACTTCATGTAAGCCGATGTCAAATGTCACAATAGATCTTGCACAACTTGACTAGCCTCTTAGTTATGTAAACCATCCGTATGAGTACGATTAGATTGGCAGCTGTCAAAATCAGACATCCGCTGATAATTATCACATGGCCATCTCGCCGGCGCAGATGAAAGAGCAGTCGTTTTGCCCCTCCATATAAGCTGATATAATATGTCACACTTACCAATTCAACATAAAAACGAAACTACGCCAGGCAAGGCTGTCAGTTGGCTGACAGTCGTTTAAAGTTATATTGGCAAGCCAAATTAAGGTCAATTGACAGCTGTCAAAATGGGACATGTGCAGACCACTATCAGAAAACTAATAACTTGGGCTCAGGTTCGCTCAGGTACACGATCTGGCTTTTACCACTACATTCCGGACGGATATGTCTTACTCACACTCGTAGTCTGTTAAGGTGGCTGAACACAGTTTTGGTAGTTTCTGAGTATAGGTCATTTGCCAAATTATGGCAAGAGAAAGGTTGCAGCTCACAAGCTGAAACTTGGCAAGTGAAAAATATAATGATGAGAGATTTTGACTGACAGGCAAAATTTGACCTTTTCGTAGTTTCCATGGCAACATGAACGATTGAATACAACCTTAAATTTCACTTTCACTCAGTTTACATAAAATTCGCTCATTAGATTTTCCTATAAACTCGCACACAGCTTACTATAATTAATCATTACTATTTGAAACTTATTTGACCAAATTTTAACAGAGGGGTTTTTAGATAATCAATAATATAATTGTACTGTTATTATTAAATGTGTCACAAAATTCGTCTGTTCAACTCCCATTTTTAAGTTTTCATTATTTAAAATACGATAAAAGTAAAAATTCTGCCAAATATCACAAAATTTTAACGCGTAGATTTTGAGAAATCGTCTTCTGTGTTCCATTGCTTTTTTCGCCGCCATGTTTGTTTGTCTAACTTAAAACAGGCGCTACCGCTGACCGCCCGCGAAACTGTGTTCAGCCACCTTAATTCGAATATTCGCCATTCTAATGAAGGTTAAATGACAGCTGTCAAACTAGAGTATACGCTGACCATCATCACCTGAGTGTATCGCGGACTCATTTTTCTATCCATTGAGGTCACGTAGTGTTTAAAGGTTTACGCTGTTTTAATTTGACCACGGGCTCAATGCGAAGCGCCATAGCTTAGAAAATCTATCCATCCTAGAAAATTCGGCAATCACGTGACCGTACACCGACCACCCGACCTTCTCTCCGTCCGCACCACAGGCATACCAATGTTTTATCTCACACTTTCCAGCTAGTTTGGGAGCCTGCAACCTGATATTGTACATCCATGTTTTGATTAATTGACAGCTGTCAAAATAGTGTTTCTGCTAACCAGTATCGCCTGACCGTATCGCGGGCTCAGGTATCGACCCACTTAGTTCGAGTGTTTTTTTGAAGGTATCCTCTGACAAGTTGATACTTTTCAAATGATCGCAGGCTCAAGTTAAATTTTTTTAAAATGCATATGAAATAAGTCGTGTTCATGAGCAGCACTTTTAAAATGTTGATTTCGAACGGACCTCGGACGCGAAAATTCAACCGGCTTTTACGTTTACATGCAGGGAAGGCAATCGCTTTTGACTTTTCTCGGTGTCACGCGTTGATCACGCTCTACGTCCAATTCTTATGTTCTGATAGGTCAAAATTTGACAGGTGAGTTCATGCGGAAAATTTATGCAGCGTCTGGAAACTTGCTTACTGATAGCTGGAGCTGACAGAGTTTTTTCCGAGAGTTTTGTGTCATCTTGTGATGTTTTAAACTGTCTTTTTCTACTTGGTGTACAAAATGAAATACAGCTGCTTTCAAGAATGTTCTGTAATTCATGGCTGGTTTGTTTATTGCGCTTTTTGTTGACAAATGCACCGCTTGTCAAAGTCATTGGAAATCCGATTTCGGATGGCATCGTTTTCAAAAATGAGCTTACCCACTTGCCCTTGCTTAAGGCGTAAGAGGGTTGAAAAGTCTCAAGCGATTCTGGAACACTTTATGACCTTCAAAAGCAGCATATCGACTGGTAAGCCTGAGCAATTATTGTCTTTGATGTGTTTTTTTTTTTCGGTTTCCTGAAGTCGAGCGTACGGCTTAAGTTTATACACGAGCAATGATGTAACTTACAGTAGTATCAGGTTTAAAAAGCCTTTAGACATTTTTTGACCGCAAATTCAAAGAAAAGGTTCCGAAGGGGTTCCGAAGATTATTCAGTTATGATTTTGGCTGTAAACAGAAAGCTCTGAGCGATTTCCTTGCCTCGAGTTCATCTTGAAAAAGAGCAAACACTGGTAGCCGGCTTAAAACATAAATAAGTTTATGCTTACCTGACTCATGATTTTCAGAGATACTTTACTCTCAATACTTCTCTTCGTGAATGAAAATTATTGTCTCTGTACATGTTTCGCCGAATTATATTTATTTTATTGATTGTTAGTAGTCCCTCTCGCAATTTTTATCGCTGCACCGGTTGTTTCCAGTCGAACATAAACATCGCATTCAGGAACACTCAAAACGCCGCGCGTAAATGTCACACGCTTTTAAAGATTACACATAACAAAACCATACACAGTTTAATAAATAAAGGGAAATAAAATCTAAACATAACAATTTCTCTATCATGTTGTAGCGTAAATGGTAACTCAATTAGTCGCACTGCAAATTTGGTGCCTGTCAAAAGTGAGAGCCCGTCCGGCTGGCCGAAAAGGTGCTTTTGAGAATTTTTTGATCGTTTTCATTAAAAGCCCGTAATTATTACCCTGCATATCACATAGGACCAGATTTTTCTAACTGAAAAGTCCCGGCATTATCTGAGAATTCTCTTCATGACAACGTTTTATAATTCAATGCTATAATTTGTTGTGCAAAGGAAGCGCGTGCTTTGATCGTCGTGGATATTGAACGAGTGCAAATTCCCTTGCAAAATTGTGAAAAACTGCAGAATTATAGGTTTAAATGGGACAAAAAAGAACAAATCTGTCCGAGGTCTGTATGATAAAAAAGGGCCTCAGAGTTTTGTTTACCTGAGACGTGATAAGAAAAAGTATGTTTAAAAGGCTGGTTTACACGCCACCAGATTCGTCGCCAAGATTTACTAGTAAACTAAACTTGTCGAACACAAAAAAATCCGGCCTGATTTTTTATTTTGGCCTCTCTTTTAGACAGAGGAATGCAACGTGTAAATTGGCTGCAACCAAGGACTATCGTGGCGCGTGTGTTTCTTAAAATTATATTTCGGGGTTGTCCAATTATCCATAGTCTTTCTAACGGAGCAATGTTGGAGAGACTGGTGAATGCCACATTATGATGCAACAGCTAATGCAAATACCATACACGAATAGGTCTATTTGTTTTCCAGGCCTAATCCACTGTGTACAAATAAGACTATTTAATAACTCGATGTACTCTTGGACTGTCAAGTTATTTTTCTCTAAAATCACTTAGCCTTTGCCTCAAAAGTCAAATGAATGTGCCCTGATCTGTGGATTACAAGTTTATCGTTTGATTTAAATTATAAATTAATTAACGGGAACTTCGCTTTTAGCCCTGGCTAAATCTATATATTGATAAATTAAAAAACTTAAATATCTCAATCATTTATGAGGCTAAAATTGCATACAGATACTGCAAATCACAAACTATAGCAGTATGCAAGGGCCGTGATTTCGATACTTATTATTAAGCGCAAAAGAACCAACTGCGGCTCTAGGGACTAAGCTTCATACTACCTTGTGGCTGAACTTGGCTTTAATGCGACATAACTGGAGTTGATTAGAAAAAGATTCTTTGTAAAGAAGACCGGGGTATTGTTTTCACCTGTGCAGCTAACTCCATCTCCAGAATACCCTGGCTTGCAGGTGCACACAAAGGACCCTTTAGTGTTTTGGCAATTAGCGTTTGAATCACAGTGGCGCCTTCCTGCTTCACATTCATTTATATCTGCAAAAAAACAGTCAGGCACTGAACGATCAAATTAAAACTGATTTCCTTTTTCTTTCACAGCAATTACTGTGGCCTACCATAATATCCATTTCATGGGATCAATTTTCATTTCCAAAACAAGGTCAATCCTCAAACCTTTCTCCTTGAGCTTTAGAATTAATTTTCATATCAAAAGGCTTCGCACTTCGCCTACTTTTAAGACAGAAGCTCGATTCAACTCGAAAATGGCTAAAATTGCATACAGATACTGCAAATCACAAACTATAGCAGTATGCAAGGGCATTTCGATACTTATTACTAAGCGTAAAAGAACCAACTGCAGCTCTAGGGACTAAGCTTCATACTACCTTGTGGCTGAAGACTTGGCTTAAATGCGACATAACTGAAGTTGATTAGAAAAAGATTCTTTTTAAAGAAGATCGAGGTATTGTTTTCACCTGAGCAGCTAACTCCATCCCCAGAATACCCTGGCTTGCAGGTGCACACAAAGGACCCTTTAGTGTTTTGGCAGTTAGCGTTTGCACCACAGTTGTGATTTCCTGCTTTACACTCATTTATATCTGCAAAAAAGAAGTCAGGCACTGAATGATCAAAACTGATTTCCTTTTTCTTTCACAGCAATTACTGTGGCCTACCATAATATCCATTTCATGGGATCAATTTTCATTTTCAAAACGAGGTCAATCCTCAAACCTTTCTCCTTAACCTTTAAAATTAATTTTCAAATCAAAAGGCTTCGCACTTCGCCTAGTTTTAAGACAGAAGCTCGAGTCAACTCGAAAATGGCTAAAATTGCATACAAATACTGCAAATCACAAACTATAGCAGTATGCAAGGGCATTTCGATACTTATTATTAGGCGCCAAAGAACCAACTGCAGCTCTAGGGACTAAGCTTTATACTACCTTGTGGTTGAACTTGGCTTGAATGCGACATAACTGGAGTTGATTAGAAAAAGATTCTTTGTAAAGAAGACCGAGGTATTGTTTTCACCTGTGCAACTAACTCCATCCTTAAAATACCCTGGCTTGCAGGTGCACACAAAGGACCCTTTAGTGTTTTGGCAATTAGCGTCTGCAGGACAGTTGTGCTTTCCTGCTTTACACTCATTTATATCTGCAATAAAGAAGTCAGGCACTGAATGATCAAAACTGATTTCCTTTTTCTTTCACAGCAATTACTGTGGCCTACCATAATATCCATTTCATGGGATTAATTTTTATTTTCAAAACGAGGTCAGTCCTCAAACCTTTCTCCTTAAGCTTTAAAATTAATTTTCATGTCAAAAGGCTTTGCACTTCGCCTAGTTTTAAGACAGAAGCTCGAGTCAACTCGAAAATGGCTAAAATTGCATACAAATATATACTGCAAATCACAAACTATAGCAGTATGCAAGGGCATTTCGATACTTATTATTAAGCGTAAAAGAACCAACTGCAGCTCTAGGCACTAAGCTTCATAGTACCTTGTGGCTGAAGACTTGGCTTTAATGCGACATAACTGAAGTTGATTAGAAAAAGATTCTTTGTAAAGAAGACCGGGGTATTGTTTTCACCTGTGCAGCTAACTCCATCTCCAGAATACCCTGGCTTGCAGGTGCACACAAAGGACCCTTTAGTGTTTTGGCAATTAGCGTTTGAATCACAGTGGCGCCTTCCTGCTTCACATTCATTTATATCTGCAAAAAAAACAGTCAGGCACTGAACGATCAAATTAAAACTGATTTCCTTTTTCTTTCACAGCAATTACTGTGGCCTACCATAATATCCATTTCATGGGATCAATTTTCATTTCCAAAACAAGGTCAATCCTCAAACCTTTCTCCTTGAGCTTTAGAATTAATTTTCATATCAAAAGGCTTCACACTTCGCCTACTTTTAAGACAGAAGCTCGATTCAAGTCGAAAATGGCTAAAATTGCATACAGATACTGCAAATCACAAACTATAGCAGTATGCAAGGGCATTTCGATACTTATTACTAAGCGTAAAAGAACCAACTGCAGCTCTAGGCACTAAGCTTCATACTATCTTGTGGCTGAAGACTTGGCTTAAATGCGACATAACTGAAGTTCATTAGAAAAGGATTCTCTCTAAAGAAGACCGAGGTATTGTTTTCACCTGTGCAGCTAACTCCATCTCCAGAATACCCTGGCTTGCAGGTGCAAACAAAGGACCCTTCAGTGTTTTGGCAGTTAGCGTTTGCAGCACAGTTGTGCTTTCCTGCTTTACACTCATTTATATCTGCAATAAAGAAGTCAGGCACTGAATGATCAAAACTGATTTCCTTTTTCTTTCACAGCAATTACTGTGGCCTACCATAACATCCGTTTCATGGGATCAATTTTCATTTTCAAAACGAGGTCAATCCTCAAACCTTTCTCCTTAACCTTTAAAATTAATTTTCATATCAAAAGGCTTCGCACTTCACCTAGTTTTAAGACAGAAGCTCGAGTCAACTCGAAAATGGCTAAAATTGCATACAAATACTGCAAATCACAAACTATAGCAGTATGCAAGGGCATTTCGATACTTATTATTAAGCGTAAAAGAACCAACTGCAGCTCTAGGGACTAAGCTTCATACTACCTTGTGACTGAACTTGGCTTTAATGCGACATAACCGAGGTTGATTAGAAAAAGATTCTTTGTAAAGAACTCCGGGATATTGTTTTCACCTGTGCAGCTAACTCCATCCCAAGAATACCCTGGCTTGCAGGTGCACACAAAAGACCCTTCAGTGTTTTGGCAATTAGCGTCTGCAGGACAGTTGTGCTTTCCTGCTTTACACTCATTTATATCTGCAAAAAAGAAGTCAGGCACTCAATGATCAAAACTGAGTTCCTTTTGCTTTCACAGCAATTACTGTGGCCCACCATAATATCCATTTCATGGGATCAATTTTCATTTTCAAAACGAGGTCAATCCTCAAACCTTTCTCCTTAACTTTTAGAATTAATTTTCAAATCAAAAGGCTTCGCACTTCGCCTAGTTTTAAGACAGAAGCTCGAGTCAACTCGAAAATGGCCTGTTAGAATTACAATAATATATCTGACTTATTATATCAAGTTAATGCCCTGGGATCAGTACTAGTAAAAGGTATTATGGAAATTAACGAGACTTAATCTAGTGAAAAACCAGTTTTAAACAGAGGAAATTGATGTGAAAGAAACGTTGCTACGAAATATGTGAGTGTTTAAATTAAGGGATCTTGAAGTGTTACCTTTACATTTATCTTCTCCATCTTCAATATAACCTTCCTTGCAAGCACACCCGAAGGATCCTATAGTGTTATGGCACACTTTGCTAGTGATGTCACAGTTGTGTTTTTCTGTTTTACACTCGTTTATGTCTGAAAATCAATATTTAATGCTGAATTATCAAACTGAATCAGTTCGATTCTTATGTCTATTGAATGAGGGATAGTAATGCAATGCTTTTGAGTAGTAGAAATATTCCACGAATATCTTAATCTGCAGTTTTGGAACTGAAAGCAGTTGCAGTGAACTATAATTCAATTCATGCCACTTCTAACAAAATCCCAGATAAAATCAGTGAGAAATGATTGTCCAAAGTTTTACACGTTGCAAGTTAAGTTATTTATGACGAATGAGTCCGCTAAGAATAAGAAATAATTATTTTGACGGCACGAGATAGAACAGGGCCTGGGTGTTAGGCCAGGGGCACCAGTTCATAGTAAGTTCTTTCTTTCCAATATTTATATTACTTCCGCATTTTTTCAGTGATTGGATTCAGTCTGTACATATGTTTTATTTTTTTCTTTTCTTTTCTTTGTTTATTTGTTTGTTTGTTTTTTACATTGTTTTCTACTTGTGCCTCCAAGAAACAACCTCTTAAAAATTCTTAATGTGTGGTTCCAGAAAATATCCATACCCCCCCCGGAAGGGATCGGATTTTTCAGGACGGGGGGTCATTTTGCCTAATTTTCCAGTGGGGAGGGGGGGGGGGGTCACCATAGGGAAATATTTCTAGAGGGTTCTCGTGACGCGTAAGAGAGTAACAAAGAAAAAACAAAAATTTACCACGAAAATTTATTTGCGAAGATATAAAACACGACGAAAGTTAAAGAGCTACTAAAACTATGGATTAATGGACATAACGAACATATTTTGTCAGTCCCTTGGCGTGACCTCTCACGCGAAAACGTTCCTTACGGTTTGCCGTTTTCGAACGGATTTGGTATCTGTTTGAACCGCTCGGGCTATCCGTTCAAAAAAAAATTGTCATCCGTTCGAACGACTTTGGCTATCCGTTTGAAAAAAGTTGTCATCCGTTCGAACGGCTTGGGATATCCGTTTGAAAAAAATGTTATCCGTTCGAACGGCTCGGGCTATCCGTTCGAAAAAGAATTTGTCGACCGTTCGAGCGACTGAAGCTATCTGTTCAAAGATAAATTTTAGCCGAGTTTCCTATCACAAAGAATTTAAAAGTTACACGAATCTTTTCCAGCACGTTAAACTTTGCGTGACAATTTACTTATCAATGAAATCGGCGACACGCAATTTTACCGCAAACTCAAATATGCAAACTTGGTAGAACGAAATTCGATACTCACACTGTCTTATCGCGCGACAAGGGCCTGATCTCTTTTAAAATTCCTCCTCTTCAAGTGTTGCTTTCTTCTTGACGCAGTACGAGAAAAGTACAGTTATGTTTGCTACGCGACCTTGCATTTCATTTGCAGAATTGTAGAATTCAACAGAAATTACATGAAACGCACAAAATTTGTCTGTGACTTGAGCGCATAAGGAGTTCGCATATTAAAGGAATTCGCTTATCTGTTATACAATTCAACAGAAAATACCATGAAACTCACAAAATTTGGCATCCTAGAGAACAAAACTACTTCTTTGTTCACTTCAATTAGAGATAGCAATATTTCCAGGGGGTGTGCGAAAATTTTGGAAATTCCGGAGGGGAGGAGGGGTAAATTTTGGGGGCCGATTTTGGAAAATCGAGGGGGGAGGGGGGGTCATACGGCAAATCCCTTCCGTGGGGGTGGTATGGATATTTTCTGGAACCACACAATCAATCTAATATATAGATTTAGCCAGGGCTAAAAGCGAAGCCTCCGTGTCTATACTTATGATAAAAGCAATCAAATTAAAGAAATAACATGAACTCCAAGCCAAAAAACAAAAACAACAACAACAAAAAAAATGAAATCTTCACATCCCTAAGAGCCTTCGGCATCAGACATCTTTAGAGGGAGGTACTAAATGATTAAGAAAAAATATCCCGCAAACAAACCTGAATTGAAAAAAATGTTATATTGTAGGTCTCTTAGTAGCAGCAATTTACAGGTTACGATTTCTAGGGTCGGTGTGTCTGAGTTTAAGGGAAGACCTAAAAGGAAAATCAGGCCGACTTAAGGACTTTCGTCTTCCCGTAAGCCCATTATCTATTCTTTTCTTTTTTTTTTTTAAACCCCGGACGAACAGTTATGTGTAGCCTTTACATTTATACCTCACAATATCTGAAAGAAAATTTTACCGTAAGGTGTATAATATTTTCTCTGAGGACAGACATAGAAAGCAAAC